AGGAGAAATTGGCACTGGTGAAAACAACCTGCACTGACTCATGATATCTGCACTACTGTCCTATAGAGACCAGGACTGAACCAGGACTGAACCAGGACTGAACCAGGACTGAACCAGGACTGAACCAGGACTGAACCAGGACTGAAACCAGGGATAAATCTGAACTGAGTGTCGGGATGGGCCCAAAGGTGTGCCCTTGTAGACCGTTGGGTGGCTGGAGGTCAAAGGACGAGTGCAAAGCTCCACGGGCTCGGGGTTCTCTCTCTCACTCTCAAGTCCAGTATTAGTTCTGGTCTAGTCCTGGTCTTAGTCCTTATCTTAGTCCTTCTCTTAGTCCTTGTCTTAGTCCTTGTTTTAGTCCTTGTTTTAGTCCTTGTTTTAGTCCTTGTCTTAGTCCTTGTCTTAGTCCTTGTCTTAGTCCTTGTTTTAGTCCTTGTTTTAGTCCTTGTCTTAGTCCTTGTTTTAGTCCTTGTCTTAGTCCTTGTTTTAGTCCTTGTCTTAGTCCTTGTCTTAGTCCTTGTCCTTGTTTTAGTCCTTGTTTTAGTCCTTGTCTTAGTCCTTGTTTTAGTCCTGGTTTTAGACCTGGTTTTAGACCTGGTTTTAGTCCTAGTTTTAGACCTGGTTTTAGACCTGGTTTTAGACCCGGGCTTAAACCTGGCTTAGACCTGGTTCAGGCAAGAACCAGGCCTGGTTCGGTCCTGGTTCAGACCTGGTTTAGACCTGGTTCAGGTTCATGGTTCTATAGGTGATTATAAACGGTGATAATAACATGATTCTGCATCATTTTGAGTACAGAAACATCAAATATTAGTGATTTTTACTGCGCTGGTGCCTTTATGTTTGTGTTTTAACACAAAACCGTCACTTTCAATACAAACATATTACACCTGTGTGTATTTCAGCGTGTCAAGATGAGTATGTGGCTTTTGGGTTGGAGGTGGATGGGGGAGATCACGTACCCCCACTTAAAAAAAAACAAAACACTACACCACTGAACATGTGTGAACAAAACAAAACACAACTCCAACTGTTTTTCATTATAACATGCCTTAAAGTTCACAAAAATCCATTTTGTGTGATATAGCACCTTTGATATTAAAAAAGTGCTTGAAAATCAGATCACAACAGCCTTCCCAAAACACTCCAATTGTTGGGAAAGCACATCGTTCCAATATATTTTTATCAGTGAAAGCCAGAGCTGTGATCCATCTTCTCCTCCCCTCTCCAAAGCCCGAGTGCAGACCTTAAAACGTCAAAATTATCGCCTCGTTCAAAATTATTTTCTATGAATCAGTTTTATTTCTAATGGCTGTATTCCTTATGCCATCTCTGCCCCCCTTTGCCCACGCGTTATGGGCCTCAGATGCCAATATTCTCCAGGTCCAAGCAACTCAGCACCTCTGCACAGTCAACCATCAGTCACTGTCTCTTAGTTTAGCCTCCAATAACTTCTGCTGCTGCTAAAGGAGAACGGGATATTTCAAATTCGTGGAAATCTCTATAATCTCTCTCTCTAAATATTGCCTATAGACGTGCAGTGGGTTTAATGATCCTATATTACGCAAAATTGATTCTTGTGGGCTTTCGGTCGTGTACGAATGCTGTTACCTCCTCAGAAACAGACCTGGAGTTGTGTTTTGTTTTGTTTCATTCACATATGTTTGAGTAAACCTGCATTATTCATATCGCCGAAGCTCAAAATGCCTGTATCTAATAACAAAATGATTTATTGTCGGAGAATCTGTTGTTAGTGTTGCCATGACAGCAAAACTCTACCTCTGAAAGTTCCTGAAAGACGCTTATAAACCACTACAAACCGCTTTTTCGCATTTTTTAGGACAGCGTGGCACCTTTAAAGTTCCTATATTACACAAAATTGACTCTTAGCCATGTTAGAATGTCACTTTTTTCAGTTGTGTTTTTTTTTCATTCACACGTTATTATCTCCGAAGCTGAAAATGCTCCGATTCAACTTGTGATGTCATGAAGCTGTCAAGTTCATGGCTACGTTTTACCTTTTTGTCCGTATAAATTGGCCATTTTCAGTTTAAGAAAATAACAGCCTTAATGTGTAAGGTTAAACATGTGTGAATGAAACAAAACACAACTCCAGGTCTGTTTGTGATGAGGAAACTACATAAGAACATCCATTGGAAAATAATATGTTTTTTGGTATTTAGACACAAAGGGCCAAGATTACGCTATGTCTTTTTCTACTGATTTAGGTCGGATTTAATCCTAGTTTAAATTGTAGATTATACTTGGTTCAGAGCTGTATTAGTCCTGGTTAAATCTGGTTTGAATCTGTTTTCCTGGTTAACTACTTACAGTCCAAGTTTAGTCCTGGTTTAGTCCTGGTTTAGTCTTTGCTTAGCTCTGGTTTAGCCCTGCATTTGTCCTAGTCCTAGTTAATTCTTGATTGTGTCCTGGTTCATACCTGGTTTAGCCCTGTTTTAGTCCTGGTTTAGTACTGAGTCCTTGTTTAGTCATGGTTCAGTCCTGGTTCAGTCCTGGTTCAGTCCTGGTTTAGTCTTTGCTTAGCTCTGGTTTAGCCCTGCATTTGTCCTAGTCCTAGTTAATTCTTGATTGTGTCCTGGTTCATACCTGGTTTAGCCCTGTTTTAGTCCTGGTTTAGTACTGAGTCCTTGTTTAGTCTTGGTTCAGTCCTGGTTCAGTCCTGGTTTTGACCTAGTTTAAACCTAGTTTAGTTCTGTTTTAGCCCTGTTTTAGTCCTGGTTTAGTACTGAGTCCTGGTTCAGTCCTGGTTCAGTCCTGGTTTAGTCCTGGTTCAGTCCTGGTTCAGTCCTGGTTCAGTCCTGGTTCAGTTCTAGTTTCTAGTTTCGACCTAGTTTAAACCTAGTTTAGTTCTGTTTTAGTCCTGGTTTAGTACTGAGTCCTTGTTTAGTCCTGGTTCAGTTCTGGTTCAGTTCTGGTTCAGTTCTGGTTCAGACCTGGTTCAGACCTGGTTCAGTCCTAGTTTTGACCTAGTTTAGTTCTGTTTTAGCCCCGTTTTAGTCCTGGTTTAGTCCTGGTTTAGTCCTGGTTTAGTCCTGGTTCAGTCCTTGTTCAGTCCTGGTTTAGTCCTCATTTTTCAGGTGTTTTTCTAAATGTTATACTGAATAAATCTTGTTTGGTCTCTTTGATTTAAATCATAGTTTTAAATCCTGAGTTGACTTTCTGATGTTGAGAGAAACAGATGGCTCAGTTTGATTCAGATTTGGTGAGTAAATGAACAGGTATGAGCACATTCACATTGTTTTCTCTGTTTGGATTTGTAAACGTGAAGTGGATGACTAAAGCTACTGAAAACACAGCACTCCTCTTCTGTGGGCAAAATACTCGTCTGAATACAATACAGCCTTTTGTATTCCCAACCACAAAAAACACTCACTAAAACACTACACAGTTAAGGGTGTCATTGTAAATTTAAGAACTTAAAAACATGGATCTTTTTTTCTTCTTTTTTTTATGGACTATATGTTTCTTACTTATATCCTGTCTGGAATTATCTACAGTATGGCTTTAAATTTAGCTGGAATGTACCTAATTCTGCTCTTACTGATAATATTTTGCAGTGACAACATGCCAGGGGTGTTCTGCATGTATGTCTATGTCAGAATGTTCAGCAGGTTCCACGCTGACACAGTGCACGCAGTAGGAGACACTTCCAAAGTTTTAAGATCGTCTGAAAGCTCAAGAAAAACGTACATAATTTTCAGGAGTCTGTGATCAGTACGAGCGTTCATGGTTCCGTTTTTCAACAAAAAGGTGAGAGCGACTCACTGGAAAACTGTTGGCTAAAATTGCAGACCCAAGATAACGTCACATATGAACAGTTCTTCAGATAAACTATAGCATAAACAACAGAACAGGACAAGTTTACCAAACTCTCCATCTCACTCCAAATCACTAAATCCATTCAATTCTTCATCCTCGGTGTCACTTCTGAACAACTTGTCCTCGACGTCCGGAGGTAAACAGAGCGACGCTTCCTCTTCTGTGTCGCTGTCGTCAGACTCAGTATCAGTTCCAGTTAGAATTATTCTGGCCTTTCTGAATCCCGACAGGATGGTTTCGGTGTCACTGAAGTCCAGACTTTGTCCATTCATCCAACGACTTCAGGAAAGTTTCATGGTGCATCCTCCCGGTGTCACAAGTTTCTCACTCACTCCAAACTTTCTTTCTGCTGCTCGATTACCGTTTTCAGCTGCAGATTTCGCGACTTGCAGCTTGCAATTTGCAAAATATGATTTTCTTTTTGGGGGTATTTGTGCTCAGTCTTCTCATTTGTCTTTATAAATTTGTGTAAATGTTAAATTGTTCAGTGGTGCAGAAGTAACGGTGCGATTGACTGACATGATACAAACACGACAGAGGCTCTTTCTGCAGGAGACATGCGCAGCAGAGTGAAGTGACAGTGGTACAGGAGGAACAGGAGCAGCAGATACTGACACACAAGACTAGAGCCTCTCCACGCTTCACTCAAACATTTTAATACACAAGTCGCATCAGAGTATAAGGCGCAGGAAACACCCAAACCATGAAAAAAAGTGCGACTTATTGTCCGAAAAATACGGTAATTTTATTTGAGAGGGACTTATTTAACAGCACGAGCTCAGATTAAAGTCAAACTTGAGTAATAGAGCTCCAGACAGAACAGTGCCTACAGTTAGTATCAAAGTTAGGTGCGTATCAAAGTTAGTTAAGTATCAATACAACTTGGTAACACTTTTTAAATAACTACACCTTAATTAACCTTAATAAACTACTATAGGCTGATTTTGAAGTGTTACTAAAAACTATACTACACTAAAAAGTACTAAAAGGTTCTATTGTTTTGAATTTGCAGAGAAATTGGTTTTAGAGTTTTAGACCTATTAAAGTCCTGCCTGGTTTAGTCTTGATGTTAGACCTGGTTTAGTTCTAGTTGTAAAATAATGTATTTCAAGGTAAAACGTGTTGTCATGCAGTAAAGTGTATATTTTCTGCATGTTTTTCAGAGACCGTACGTGATGAGGTCCAATACTCCGGCCAGTGAGATCCTACAGACCTTCCACAAAGTCCACCCCAGTTACCCGGCCGCCTGGTCCCTGGAGATGAAGTCCCTGCTCAGAAAGGTACAGTCTGCAGAGTTAGATCTGTACAAACACCCAATACCACTTTCACAAGGGAAATATTGCCTTTTTAATCACACAAAAGATGTATGTACTGATAACTTTTACACTCAACTCCCGTCTCATCCATTTCCTTATGGTGCTTTCAGATTTGACTATAGAAGTGGTCTACGTAACATTTCTACATTCTAATTTTCCCATTCATTTTCCCCAAAGACTTAAAGGTTGTATAGAGGATTTTCCAAGGAACGAGAAATCCAGCGACTGTTTGTCCTTTTTCAAATGTTGCGCATGCGTGAAACCCCCCCCCCTCCTCTACAGCTCCTACGTAGAAACGCCTCCTCCCGCCTCCTCTTTACGCCAGAAACAGGTTTGTTTACAGCCGGTGCGCTGCACATGACTTGTAAACAACTAACTACAGTGTTGGTTAGGCAAGACGGAGAAGTGAGGAGCGGGGGGAGCGGGTGTGCGGACATTTCGTTCGCGGACGAGAAGTGAGGAGCAGGGAGAAGAGCGGAGCAGGGAGAGAGGAGAGGAGAGAGGAGAGGAGAGAGGAGAGGGGAGCGGTGCGCGGAGATTCCGTGCCCGGAGAAGTGAGGAGCAGGGGGAAGAGCGGAACGGGCAGCGGGGACAGGAGCAGGAAAGGGGTGCAGAGAAGGTTGCGCGGAGATTCAGTGCGAATGAACTAGCTACAACACGCAGCAGCAAGCGGACTCTTTCTTTGCCTTGAAAATTACGTTTTCAGACATAGGATATCGCTTTCGTGTCCTGAAAAACGTTTGACTAGCTCTTGGAAATAAAGTACGTTTTCATAATAAGCAGAAGTGACCTGTCCAGGAGTAATTTGTGCGACCAGTGCTTCAGTCTTTAGACCCTGCGTCTGCTTCAGTCGCGCCATCGCTGGAATGAATCTATAAGAATCACCTTAGTTTGGCTTCGCTGCTTTTCCCCTTGTCTTCTTCTTTCAGCGACCTCAAAAACGGACTTTCTTTTGCGGCGAACTGCTCCTGGATTCTTGTCGCCATTGCAACAAACTTTGTGCTAACTGCGAGGAAGATATAGGTCAAAAAAAGCCGCTAAGAACTGTTGCGTTGGTGGAGTAAACAGCGTCTGTGCGTCTTGCGTCTGTGGACTGCGTGACAGTCGTACGTAAACCACGTACCGGCGGCGCGCAGGCAAGTCAGTTACACTAGAAACATAGGGAGATTGATTGACAGCCTGTCAGCTCACAGATAACGAGGCAGTGTCGTTATCTATTGGCAAATGTTTAGCCCCACCACGTCCAGAGTTGATGAATTTTTATTCTCTTTTTTTTGGTCATCATAATTACAAGGCTACTGCACCTCTATAATGCTATCATTGACAACTTGAAACAAAAAAAAATCCTCCATACAACCTTGAAAAAAAAGTCTGATATTAAAGAGTTCAAAGGTATCATGGAGATTAGAGTGTGGATCGGGCCCACATTTGACAGTGTGATCGAATTCAACCCGGCACCAAGATTATTTGTGTCCGAACCCAACACAATTAAACTCACACTGTTTTCACAGGCCGACTAATGACACACGTAAGATATTGTTTGTGTGACCTCTAACGGACACAGAGACGCAAAAACCAAACTCGGGATATAGCGAAAATAATGAGAAGACTTTATTCCTCGCCTCTCATGAAGTGGTAAATTTAAAGTGCAGCATCTCATCCACATTATCCTTGGAAATTGTCCTTCGCAAATAATGACACCAGGCCACAAAACTGCGCTGTTAATGCAGTTTGAGGCGTTCTTTTAAAGTAAAATTGCAAAAGTAGTATACGTGTGTTTGTTTACATTCACACAGCGCACGGATCAAGGTGAAGCTGCAGATTAGTGACAGTGACTCTACTTCCTGTGGACTTTGTCTCCAATCTTTAATGCTTTAATCAGTCAAATCGTGTATCTGAAGTTTTGCACCACATTTCACAAATAATAATAACATAGTTTTGACTTGTATCTAAACTAGAAGTGCAGAGATCGGATGTTTTGAACACTTAAGAGTCTCAAAGTGAGTGGTTTTACTGATCCAAGTCCTGTGTCCAAGTTCGACCCGAGCCCGAACAAAAGTTTCACATATTTGTCTGAACCGAAGTCTGACGGGTCCCCGTGTTTCCATATTCTGATGGAGACTAATCAGCTACGTGCAAATAATAATATCCATAATGTGGCTATTTTAAGACCAAATGCACATTTAAAGGTGCATTGTGTAATTTTTCTAGGAGGGTCCGTCGGATGCTTTTCTCCATGGAAATGTTACTGCTTTGTCTGGAATGTTTCTCTGTATGATGTTAAATCTTTCTGTCTTCACGTAGACTAAACCAGACCAAGTTACAGGTCAGGTCTGTGGAGAGGCGACCCCGCTCACAGTCAGAATGTTTGTTTTTCTAGGTATTTTTGAGCTATAAAAGCACCTGTAACTGAATAAATGTAAGGTAGAGCTGTTTAAAGGGCCACTAGACACTGAAATAACTTTTTTCTACTAATTATCTGTGTAAATGGGTCTAAAATAAAATCTATACCTATCCCTGGCCTTATTTTGGTGTTTAAGTGCATATTTGTTAAAAATCTGAATTTGGGTCAAAGTCGTTTCTGTAACGGCTTCTTGAGGATCAACTACGACCAGGACATTTGAGTTTTTAATCACGCAGGTGAATTGGACTCAAATGCAACACAATTGTGCAGGCAAACAAAGGCTTAATTGAATAACAGAAAGTGTCCTTTAACAGGTAAAGATAAATATGTTTATACAATATTTAATAAATCAGACTGACAACAACAAAGGAGTATATGATATCAAACGTGAACGAAAATATCATCCAGAAACTGGGAAATAGTCTACAAGGTATGTCTTGACAGGTCGACAATCAGGCAAAGACTGAGGGAGCAGAGGGAGTATATATAGACTGAGCCTGGGCTGATTACAAAATGAGGGGCAGCTGTAGGGAAAGGAGGGAGGTGGCAAAAGGAGGACCGGAACAGAGTGAGAAATGGAACTGGACTGGGGAAAACAAGTAAACAAAAGACAGAACTGTGACAGAACCCCCCTCTCAAGGGACGGCCCCTGACGTCCCAAAACCAAACGGCCAACCACGGGAGGGAGGAGGGGGCCTGGAGGAGGGTCAGAATTCGTCCAAAAGGTCAGAGTACCCAGACGGATCACTCAGGGTATCAGAAAGAATGGCGTGAGAGCTTCAAGAGCCCTTTGAAGGCTGTTCGGGATGTTGATCATGGAAGGCTTTAATAAGAAGAGGGTCTAAAATGAAACCGGCAGGCACCCAAGAACGCTCCTCTGGCCCATACCCCTCCCAGTCAACCAAATACTGGATGCCCCTACCACGCCGTCTGGAACGGAGGAGACGCCTCACCGTGTACGCAGGTTTTTGGGTTGAATTGACGGCCGCCAATGAGTCAGGTACAGGTTATTAAGTGTCGAGCACAACCACTGGCTTCTACGGGCGGGATGTGAGGAGCCCCTCTCGGTCCCGCCCCCTACCTGGCACCGCCGGTCACTGCGACGTCCCGCCGTGTGTGCAGAAAAGGGAAACGGCGTGATCCGAGCGCAAATCTCCGCTCTTGTTTCAAAGTCTGGAACACACCGGTTCGCGCCGCATCGGATCGTTGTTGCTGTTAGTCGGCTGTCGATCATCGCTCCAGAGCCCACCCCACACCCGCTCCCCCCAATCCTCAGGCAACACCCACTCTGGAGGATTTTTCAGATTTTGTTTATGAATGCTGTTTAATGGCTCTTTAAAGTCATACTTTGGCACATTCCAGGCAGAGCAGTGATATGTCTATAGAAACAAACACACAGCAAAAACTGGAGGGTTAAAATGTTAGGGTAAAATATTTCAGAGTTGTTGTTAACACCAAAAGTATTATTTAAATGGGGGTTCGAGTTGGGGTTATTTGCCAGAGTTGATGTGGTTGAGGTTAATTCAACTTCCTCTAGTGTTAATTTGGCTCCTCCCATTCACCACTTCAAACTCTCAGCTTTGTACACAATTTCATCTTAAATGAACTAAAGTAAAGTAAAAATAAAATAAAACGCCTCTGTGTGTCGTTTAGCTAAATCAGGATAACTCTACAAAGTGTTATCTGTTTACTCTCAAAACGTGAATATAACTCTGGATTTCAGGGTTAAACAGGAACTTTGGTCCATTGTTACTTAATTAACATTTCCAAAAATGTTAAATTGGTAACACTTTATAATAACTACACCTTATTTAGCCTTAATAAAGCATGAACAAAGACTTAATTAATAATGATTCACACTTAGTAACTACTTAATTACTACCTGAATTAGTACTTAACTTGCACTTAATTCACCTGTGCTGTAAATAGTTACTCAATACTTCTTAATTACTCATGAACTAACCATTTGCATGTTTACAAATGCATATTTAAGTACACATTTGAGCATTTATTAATGATTAATAAGCTATGAGAGAATGATTTACTAATAATGCAATGCAATGATAATTCAGGCAGCTGTTATCTGTTAGTTAAGTCTTTCTGAGAGTTTTTCTAAAGTGAAGACTAATTATGCTTTATTAAACATTTGTTAAGGTTGGTCAAATTCCAGAGAAACAATAATGCATTACTTAGTAAATCATTCTCTCATGGCTTACTAATCATTAATAAATGCTGAAATTTGTACTTAAATATACATTTACAAATGCACACACAAATGGTTAGTTCATGAGTAATTAAGTAAAAAATATTTATGAGTAACTATTTACAGCACAGGTGAATTAAGTGCAAGTTAAGTGCTAATTCAGGTAGTAATTAAGTAGTTACTAAGCGTGAATCATTATTAATTAAGTCTTTGTTCATGCTTTATAATAACTACACCTTATTTAGCCTTAATAAAGTGTTACCGTTAAATTAACTCTAGAACGGATTGGACTCATATAAACTCTGAGAAAATGTTAAAATTGATTCTGTGAGAGTCAATTTTAACACTCCACTTTTT